CCTTCTCTCACACACACACTCACACGCACAAGATAGACACAGGGAAATAATTATACTAATTTTGTTTTTAGTAAACTATAAAAAAGTAAAAATATAAACACATTTTAAAATAAGATCTTGAGAGAAACATGATTCAACATTATAAACTAAACATACATAAACATTTGTAAATTTTAACATAAATTATATTTAAAAGTTTGTCTTATTTCAGAAATTTCATAAATTCAATAAAAAAGAATAAAACACATTTTCTTGTTTTGCATGTATAAAATTACATGACACTATGAATATTCTTTTAAATAGCAACTGTTTGAAGTTCTAAGGATAAAAGTGTTTATAGTACAAAGAATTTTTCCTATGATAATATAGCTCTTATGAATATAACAGAACATTCAGGTGCACATTCAGATAATGCATTTTAAATCTCAAATTATTCCTGTATGTTATTTTTTGATGAGAACATACTTTGCTGATCTGTTAGCTCTTAAATGAACTCAAACAAGAAGCTACTTTGTAACTTGAAATTTGAGGATTAATAATTCTTATCTTTAATGAGAAATATTTTTGATAATTATATAAATAAATTGATGATAAAAACATATTATGTACTTCATTATCATAGCCCTGAAGTGCACTTTAAAATGTGCTTATATCATTTTACTTTGTTTAAAATAGTGCAATTTCTAGCAGAAAACCACTTCCTTTCATCTGCCTAAGAAAATCAGCTTCTTTATGTATTGTTTTATAGATTATATTCATTTTAGTTAATCTTTATATCTATATTTTGCCAATACCACATAGTCTTCATATCTATAGCTTTTCAATCGGTTTTTTGAAATCTGGTAGACTAAGCCCTTCAGCTTTATTTCTCCAACTTCATTTTAAAAATTGCTTTGACTATTCTAGATCCTCCTAATTTTCATGCAAATTTTAAAATCATCTTGAAAATGAATACATAAATCCTTCTAGAGAATTTATTGGGATCGAGTTAAATCTAAATAACAAAATGAGGTCATTTAACAATATTGAATCTTCCATTCCATAAATGTAGTACATGCTTATATTTATTTAGTGTTACTTCAATTTTTCTTAGCCATGTTTTATAATTTTCAGTGTGGAGGTTTTGAATGGTATTTGTTTGGCTTATTTGTAAGTAGTTTACATTTGTTGGTGGTATTGTAAATGGAACAGTTAACTTTCATTTTCAAATTGTTTGTTTCTTATGCATGTTTACAAGCAATTTTTATATGTAAATTGTGGGTTCCACAGCCTTGCCAAAATCTTAATTCTAGTAGTAGATTTATAGATTATCTGTCATTTTCTGCATAATCATATCACCTTTAAATAGAGACAGTCTTACTTCTGTATTTTGATCTTCATTCATTTTATTATTTTCCCTTATTGCAGTTTCAAGGATCTATAATACAATGTTTTGTTAACGTGGTAAAAGCAGATATCTTTGTTTTAATCTCGTATCAGGGAGGAAAACAAATCAGTCTTTCATCAAAATACATCACGTTGGCTCCAGTTTTTGTTGTTGTTGTTGTTTTGTTGTAGGCAGAGTCTCTTTCTGTCAGGCTGGAGTCCAGTGGCACGATCTCGGCTCACTGCAACCTCCGCCTTCTGGGCTCAAGCAATTCTCCTGCCTCAGCCTCCCGAGTAGCTGGGAGTATAGGCATGTGCCACCATGCCCGGCTAATTTTTGTATTTTTAGTGGAGATAGGGTTTCACCATGTTGGCCAGGCTGGTCTCGAACTTCTGACCTCAGGTAATCCGCCTGCCTCGGCCTCCCAAAGTGCTGGGATTACAATTGTGAGCCACCACACCTGGCTAGCTTAATTTTTTTTAGAGCAGTTTTAGGTGTGTGGCAAAATTGAGCAGAAATAGAGAGAATTCCCATGTATTTCTGGCCTCCACACATGCGTAGACTCTCCCATTACCACATCCCCCAAAGCATGATTCATTGGTTACAGTCAACGAACCTACATTGATGCATCATCATCACTGAAGTCCATAGTTTACATTAGGGTTCACTCTTGATATTGTACACTCTGGGTTTGAACAAATATATAATGACAAGTATTTACTATTATAGTTTTATACAGAATAGTTTTGCCATCTTAAAAGTTATCTTTGATCAATCTACTCATCCCTAACCCTTCCCTAATTCCTGGTAACCACTGATCTTTTTACTGTCTGCATAGTTTTGCCTTTCCCAGAATGTCATGGGGTTGGAATTGGAAAGCATATATCCTTTTCAGATTTGTTTCTTTCACTTATTAATGTACATTTTAAATTCCTCCCTGTTCTTTCATGGCTTGATAGCTAATTTCTTTTTAACCAATTATTTCCATGAAGGTGACTCATCTATAAATGAACTCATCAAAGGCATTATGCAATTCTGTAATAGTACTTTTTATGCCTAGCATTTGTTTTTGGTTTTTTCCTAGAATTTTTATCTCTGCCTATATTTCCCATCTGTTCTTGCACGTTGTCTACTTTTTTTGTTAGAATCCTTAGTATATTAATCAAACCAAAGTCCATCTTCTCCTGAGTTCCACAATGTCCTCATTATATTATATAAGTGATTTAGTACTTCCCACAAAATCCATACCTCATAAAATTCCAGATGCTATTCTCAGCCCAGTCTTAGGCAGCCAGAAGAAAATCTATTATCAGTAAGGAAAGAAGGTGTTGTACACTATTATTTAGTGGCCTGGAGAAATGGTTTCAATAGTGATAGGTGGAAATAATTTTAGAATGAATATAATATGAGTCAAATAGTAATGTATGTACTGACCTTCCTTCAGTACATGCTCAGCTCCTAATTTGCAATCATGCTGACAAAGCCCTGTAGTCAAATTGCTTTCTGAAGAATTACATTCTTTACTAAGTAACCATTCAACTGGTCTTTATTTGTTTGCAATTATAGAAAGCCAAGTTTTTTTTGGCATACTGGAAAAATAGCAGTCTCAGGAAATTGACAAGGAAATCAGAAGTACAGATATATATAATATACATTATTTATATATTATATAAAATAATTACACACTAATATATACTGTTATGTATTACATAATTTTATATATATATAAACCTATATATTTATATATATATATAAACCTCCTCTCTCTAGAGCCACAGGAATTGGAGACAAGATTATTTACTAACATAAAACTCTAACTTGTACTCCTGTGGTATATGTTCTATACCATGGTATTTGATCATGTTAGAACATGATCAAAGTTTTAATTATGTATGTATATATTTATCTATCCCCTATAGTATACATTCTAAGAGAAGCAGTGCCTAGATTTATCATATTTCTTTTACTATGAACCAAACTAACCAAGTGCCTGGCATATATAAGCTACTATAAAAAGTGTTAAGAGAATTGATGTCAGTAGTTCTGTTACAGTAGGTAGACATGAGCAGAGCAGGAGAGGACACACACACACACACACACACGCACACACACACACGCACCCCTCAGCTGATGGCCAGTTGGTTGTTAACTGTGTCTCTAAAAATAATAATTAATCATAGCTGGCACCAGGGAAGGCAGTCTCCAAATAGAAAAAATCTGAAACTGGTGATCCATAGCTTCTCAATAAGATCTCAAGAGTTGGATCAGTGGGCTCAAGCATGCTCACTAAGAGGCAAAATGGTGGAGTTTAAACTTTCTCTAGAAATACTAGACTGGTAAGGGAAGAACACCTAAAATAAGCATGAGTACAACTCCAGTAAACACACTGCCTATGCAGCACCTCCCAAGTGTTAGCAGGCCACTGCCTATGTGGGCAGCCCACCCCAAGGGGAGAATAAGCGGAGAGGGGATGCAAAACCCAGGAAGTGTGCCAATGTATAAAACTCCAAGTCAGAGGTCAAACCACATACTTGGTATCTCAAGTCACCTGCTTGGCCCTCTTCCAAGGGTATTTCCTTTCATTCCTGCTCAAAAGCTTTTTAATAAACTTTCACTTCCGCTCTAAAACTTGCTGCTATATCGCCTTCTGCCTTATGCCCCTCAGTTGAATTCTTTTTCTTGAAGAGGCAAGAATTGAGGTTGCTGCAGACCCATACAGATTCACTGTCACTAACTGTTCCCCTAACTGGTAGTTAGCCATAGGGTAGAATAACTCTTCCAAAGTCAGTAAGAAGGCAGACTATGCTGCCTAAAGGCTGCCCTTTCAAAAAAATTAATTCTGGCCAAAGGGGAGAACACACAAAAATACTTGTGGTCATAGGGAAATTGGGTGATGTTAATAATATAGTACACTCGTAAGGAAATTAAGGAAAGGCAGCAGTCAGGAGAAACATTTGATGAGCTTTGATTTTAAAATATTAATCTTCCAGAGTTGAAGATCAAAGAGTACATGAAGTACCAACAGCGTGAGGGATGTGAGCTGTAGGTAGAGGGGAGACTATTATCAGAGCTGCCACTGTTGATATAGCGGGTTGTTGCAAATGTGAGCAAATGAGCTAGCATTAAGAATAAGAGCAGATAGGCCGGGCGCGGTGGCTCAAGCCTGTAATCCCAGCACTTTGGGAGGCCGAGACGGGCGGATCACTAGGTCAGGAGATCGAGACCATCCTGGCTAACACGGTGAAACCCCGTCTCTACTAAAAAATACAAAAAACTAGCCGGGCGAGGTGGCGGGCGCCTGTAGTCCCAGCTACTCGGGAGGCTGAGACAGGAGAATGGCCCGAACCCGGGAGGCGGAGCTTGCAGTGAGCTGAGATCCGGCCACTGCACTCCAGCCTGGGCAACAGAGCAAGACTCCGTCTCAAAAAAAAAAAAAAAAAAAAAAAAAAGAATAACAGCAGATGATATGATAAAGCTCGGCATAGACGGCCCAACCTGGAGAAAATTGTCAACCCAAAGGGTGAAGAGAAGCCATCTATGTACTGAACCCAGGACTAGAAGGAAAATAAATGATCTATATGTTGTATGGATTAAAAAAAAAAAAAAAAAAAAAAAAAGAATAAGAGCAGAGCGCGAGCGGCGCGAGAAAGCTGAAGGTCATGTGGCCGCCCTCAACCGACGCATCCAGCTCGTTGAGGAGGAGTTGGACAGGGCTCAGGAACCACTGGCCACGGCCCTGCAGAAGCTGCAGGAGGCGGAAAAGGCTGCAGATGAGAGTGAGAGAGGAATGAAGGTGATAGAAAACCAGGCCATGAAGGATGAGGAGAAGATGGAAATTCAGGAGATGCAGCTCAAAGAGGCCAAGCATGTTGCGGAAGAGGCTGACCGCAAATACGAGGAGGTAGCTCGTAAGCTGGTCATCCTGGAGGGTGAGGTGGAGAGGGCAGAGGAGCGTGCGGAGGTGTCTGAACTAAAATGTGGTGACCTGGAGGAAGAACTCAAGAATGTTACTAACAACCTGAAATCTCTGGAGGCTGCATCTAAAAAGTATTCTGAAAAGGAGGACAAATATGAAGAAGAAATTAAACTTCTGTCTGACAAACTGAAAGAGGCTGAGACCCGTGCTGAATTTGCAGAGAGAACGGTTGCAAAACTGGAAAAGACAATTGATGACCTGGAAGAGAAACTTGCCCAGGCCAAAGAAGAGAACGTGGGTTTACATCAGACACTGGATCAGACACTAAACGAACTTAACTGTATACAAGCAAAACAGAAACTCCGGAGCTCCGTGGTCTTTCTTTTCTCTTGTATGAAGTTCTTTTTGTTATTGCCATCTTTGCTTTGCTGGAAATGTCAAGCAAATTATGAATACATGACCAAATATTTTGTATCGGAGAAGCTATAAGCACCAGTTAAATCTCATTCCTTCCTTTTTTTTTTTTTTTTCCAAATGGCACCAGCTTTTTCAGCTCTCTTATTTCTTCCTTGAGTTGCATTTATTTCTAAGGTAGGCAAGGTATTTCTTCATAAGCATACTTTCTTAAGACAGAGGCCATTTGGTTCCTAGGAGAATAGGCAGCCCCACACTTTGAAGAACACAGACCCCAATATCTAGTCGTGGATATAATTAAAATGTTGAAGACCATAATCTTTTGGGTCAACTGTTGGTCAAACTATAGGGACCATCACATGGGTAGTGATTTTCCATCCAGAGCCAATAAAAGGGCGGGTGGGGGCCAGGGGTGGCTATTGTGGGAAGTCATAACCCACAGATAGATTAACCTAAGAATCCTGACCCTTCTCCACACTCCACCATGCAGAATAAACATCCTCTCAAGCAGTCAACGTAGAATGCTTGGGTAATAGTCATAATTACCCACATATAGTAATTAATAGATGGTAATTAATAGATCCTTGATGTGACGTTCTTTTGCGTATTTCCTTCATTATAAAGCTGTTCTCTGGCTGGGCACGATGGCTTTCGCCTGTAATCCCAACACTCTGGGAGGCCAGATCACTTGAGGTCAGGAGTTCAAGACCAGTGCAGCTAACATGGCGAAACCCTGTCTCTACTAAAAATACAAAAATTATGGTGACGCCTGCCTGTAGTCTCATCTACTTGGGAGACTGAGGCAGGAGGATCACTTGAACCCAGGAAGTGGAGATTGCAGTGAGCCAAGATCGCAGCACTGCACTCCAGCCTGGTCAACAGAGTGAGACCCCATCTCAAGAAAAAAATAAAATAAAAATAAAGTTGTTCTCTGAAGAGCAAATGTCTGATTCCAATAATGACCCACTCAGCCGGAATATGGTGGAATTCAGTCCAATTCAGGTCAGCCATCTCCAAAAGACTACAAGTCATTAATAAGTTTAGCAAAAGAGTTTCTATCTATTAGCAGAAAGGGCCTCTCTGGCAGCAGAGATTAAAAATTGGCCCAACTTCATTTCCATACTTCAGGGAATAGCAAATTGAAGATTTACTTATCTAGGACTTGAATTCCTTCTTTGGGACCAAGTTAATAAAACACCAAGAAACTCCTGGTTAAACTGGATAATGAAGGATTCTGTAGACAGGGCTGCACATATCAGCTTTGTTTGACTTCTCTTTTCTCAGTTAACATCTCAGAGCTGGAACATTCCACATTCCCCGGCAGTGTGTGGGGGCCGACTAAAGTTTACAATTCTGACTAAAAATCACCCTGCTTCTGGCTTACAGAAATCCCTTACCCACCCCACCCCACCACCCCACTCCTATTTATTCAGCACCACACTACCCAGGAAATACACTAGCAAATTGTTCAATGGAATCAAATCCACACTTTTCTTTAGATTCTTGCAACAGTGTCATATGCAATAGTATCACTTTTTCTACATTTTGGTCAAATAAATTTTTATATAAACTAAAAAAAAAAAAAAAAGAACAAGAGCAGAGCATAGAGACATATAGATTTGAGCCTTAGAAAGTACTAAATATTAAGGGACTTGACAAAGCAGATATAGCAGCCTACAAATTTAAACTACCACCTGTGTTTTCACTTTACAAGGAAGATTTTTTTTGTTGTTCTGGTTTTAACTCATTTCTGCTTTGGCATTGTTGATGTTTTAAATAAAGAAATAAGTTCATAATCTCTGGAAATTGCCATTTCAGTGGAAAAGAAAATGAAATTACATGATTTTCCAAAAGTAGGTTTATGAAAAGAAAATCTTTAACGAAACCTAGAAGTCTTGCTTTTTCTTCTTGCCCTTCCTTTCCTCTGCACTTTATAATGAAGTTTGTCTTTGTTTTGTTTACTACATAGACCACGTTTTATCTTTAATCATATTTGATTTGAGAATGTCCTCTTGCATTTGTATAAATGAAAATGGTATAATGAGCTGACCTACTATTTTCAATGATAAAGGATGTCACACACAAAATAAATGACTTTTTTCATTTGCATATTCACTTAGATTGGTGGAAGAAGCAGCTTTCAAAATCCTAAACATAGCAGTACTCTGTATCGTTTAAATTGGACCCCAGATAATCAAATCAATTCATATCTGAAAAAGAAATATAATCTACTTTTATTAGTAATTTGTATGTATCTGTGCATACATTCATACTTTTTCTTTTATAATATTCATATTTCCCTGTGTTCTACAAGTTTCTTGTTTTTAAAAGTATAATAAAATTCAAAAGTGAGAGAAATGTTTACTTAACTGAAGACATGGCTAAAACGCACCCTCTTAAAAGATTAGAGTGAATAAGAAGGAAAGGAAAAACATAAGCAAGAATCCTCTAGATAGTAGTTTAGTATTAGGTTCTAATTTTCAAGTAAATAACTGAGGCAAGATTGTTACTAAATATGGATGCCTAAAAACAAAGAGACTGCTTTAAGTTACTGCAAGTAATGTGATTGTTCTGACTTTTTCACCACCAAGACTCCATAGCTTTAGGAGTCATTGGGAAATACGCTTGTAAAAAGCTTTAATGAATCCTACTCTGCCGAAAGTGACGACTCATGGCTATAATCCCAGCACTCTGGGAGGTTGAGGCAAGAGGATTGCGGTTGGCTTGAGGTCAGCAGTTTGAGACAAGCTCATGCAACAAAGCAGACTCCCATTCCCACAAAATAAAAATAATTAGCCAGGCATGGTCACGTGCACCTGTAGTCCTACCTACTTGGGAGGCTGAGGTGGGAGGATCAATTGAGCCCAGCAGTTCCAGGCTGCAGTGAGCCACAATTGTGCCACTGTACTCCAGCCTGGGTAACAAGCAAGTTCTTTCTCAAAAAATTCCCTACTCTGTCACATTGAACAAACTTCAAATGTCTAGATAACAACAACAACAACAACAAAAGTTTAATCACACTCATTCCAAAAGTTACATTCTTTAGAAACTTTCTGAAAGTCACTTTTCAAAAGTTATTTGGCATTAAAAACATTCCATTTAGTTAAAATATAAATGCTATAATAAAATTTCTATGGACTAGTCCTCTTTTCTGATACACATGAAAATTTAAAGGACAATTTGAAAGCAATAATAAGGAGTTGTTGAATAGGTGCTATTTAATCTGCACTCAAATATTTTTAAGATAAATTTATTCTGACAGAATTAATATTAAAAATAATATTTACTTGAAAGTAATTATTTTTGCCTCATTTTCCTTTATAACAATTTAGTACAAATAACATATTAATATATACTTTAACAAATAGGAATGGCCTTCTACAATTCTAAACTGATCCTTCTCTATTTGCAACCCCCAAAATAATCAGATTCTTAAGAAGGGTCACTGCAAATGCTGACAAATAAGTTTAAAGAAATATAATCCAGCATTATCTTTATCAACACTTACAGAAACTACAGATAGTAGGTTGTTGAAGTCTTCAACTATATGATGGTGAATTTATCAATTTTGCTTCATGTATTTGTAGGCTTTGATACTTAGTATGTATAATATTTAGGAGGATTAAGTCTTCTGGTAGGTTGATCTTTATATAAAATTCCTGTTATTGATTTATTTTTATGTCTACTTACATAAAACTGCCTTTTTAATTAATGATTTAATCTTATCTTTTTCCATAAGTTTACTTTCAACATACCTATATGTTTACATTTGAAGTGAGTTTTCTTTTAAAGCAGAATACAGTTGAGTCACTTTTTAAATTCAGCCCTAAAAATCTCTTTTTTAGGTCATATTTAGACCCGTTACCTTCAAGCAATGGTTGATATGTTAGCAGTTAATTCTGCTACTTATTGGCCACCTATTTGAGTATTTTAATCATATTTATCTGCCAGTGCTTAGTATTTACAGAAGTAGTTAAATGAATGGATAATGAGTATTCACTAGAACTCTGCATTATGTGGCACGAAGTTGAACGAAAAAGTGTTTCATAGACATAATTTAATACTTTCCTGTGGCTAGTAAAAACATGGGTCTTCAGATAAACGAAATGATTTTAAAAAGATCTATCTCAAACACATTTTCATCATATTTTACAACCTCAATAATAAAGAGAAGATCCTAAAAGCTTCCAGAAAACAAAAGCAGCACACCGTAAAAGAATGACAATCAGGAAAGCATCATATTTATCAACAATAAACTGGATATTAGAAGACAATTGAAAATATCCTCAAATTTCTGACAGAAAATTATTTTCAATCTGAAATTTTATACCAAGCAAAACTAGTATTCAAATGTGAGGACAAAATGTATTTTAGATATGAAAGGACTCGAAAGTTTACCTCCCATTCACTGTTCCTTCAGATGTTTCTTGAGAAGCACAAGCAAAATGAAGAAGAGAAAAGACAAAGGATGGGGCAAGAAATATTTTCTTATTAATAGGAGGAAATCTGACTTAATTATACTCTTAAAATCATCTGGCTCTGAGGCAAACTCACAATAAACTGGGAAATAAAAATCATCATTACTATCAAGCAAGAGGGACTATTCAGAGGAATCAAATTTTCACTACTCTGAATGGGCGATACCAAGAACCTAGCTAATTCTTATAAATCTGAGTACCGTCCATCACATCTAAAACTCTAAAATAGTTTGTGTTCTTGCCCATTAGCAGGGAAGCACTCCTCCCTTGGGCAATTCCTTATATTATCATATGTATTATTATAATATCAACATCTACCGAGATATTGATTCTATGAAATCCTGCCTTTTCTCTCATACATGGAAGCATTCTATCATGCTGTGTCACAGATGAGGAACTTAGGGATTCAGGTCTTTTAAAATCCATTCTATTTCCACAACAATGATATTTTTAGATAACATATATATCAGATATAAATTTAAACACACACATACGAATGCAACAGTTGTGTATAAATAAATCCTCATAGACTGAAGAAAGTACACTTGAAACTTTCCTGCTTGTTTGTCATGTTAGCAAACAGTCTTTTTCACTGGAAATAAAGACAAGTTCATTAGAAGATTTACCCCATCAGATGAGGATTCCCATAGACACTACCCATCAAACAACACATGGACATTCTTTGAACTCCAAGCCTTGGACCCACACTTCCTTATGCCCTCTCAGGCACAAGGAAGTTTATTCTAAATATTCTACTTATTTTTAAATACTCTATCTAGCATGACTTAAATTAGACCAAAGAGGTTGCTTGCCATTCATTTTTTATTCTATTATCAGGCAGTTTTGAAGACATAAGAAAGCTGTATCCATAGCATTTGTTAAATATATAGTAGAATTATTCAGAAAAAATCACTTAGGCCTGGTGATTTCTGGATGGGCTACCTACTGTCAGCTGTACAACTTGCAGTTTAGTCAAATTTTTAGTTGTAGAGCCATTTCCCAGAATAGAGACACAAGTCGCTGTGCTAATTGAAGAGTTAAGTGGGCTGCTCTCATAAATGCTAATGTAGGGGGCACAGTTATATGACATTATGCTGAAA